TTTTGGTTTTGGTTTTTCTCCGGTACCGGGAACCGAACTCACGACCTTGCGCTTGCCAGGCAGGCGCTTTGCCGCTGAGCTAAATCCCCAGCCCCTGCAGCGACTTTTGAGAATGGCCTGAAAGTCATTTGTTAGGCTGAAAAATAGTGCACTCAGTCAGTTGCTCAAGGCATCTTCTAGTGTTTACCATGTGTCAAACAGACTCCATTGTGAATCGAAAAGAATGACAGCCCGTTACCTCTAGACTGGTGACTTGAGTGTATGTAGTCAGTGGGGGTTGGCACAAGCACACTCTGGGTTCCAGTCTCTAGCCCCACCCATGGCTCACAGAAGGAAAGGCTGAGTCAACACAGGGTGAGAAGTCCGTTTTGTTAGTCTTATATTGGCTTGCTTCATTATTCCAGTTTATGTCCATGAAACTCTTATCTGTTTTTCTCCCCTGAGCCCTCTTTTATCTTAATGCTAGCAGGCATGAAGCCATTGTCTATATGGGCCCATAGAGCAAAGTACCTGGTGATGGCCTAGTGTAAATTGCCACAATTCTAATTCAAGACAGTCATCAGACTCTCAGGAATCTTTTGTTCACTTTTGCTTCCCTACTTTCACATCCAGACATCAGACAATAGAATTGACTCTGCAGCAGCAATAAATGAGCCAGAGGAGGGGAAGTCTATTGAAACATCACTGTTAGCTCATCAGTATGAACTGTGGCAAGAGGCCTGGGCAGTTCTTTTCCTTCTCAATTTTTGTTCCATAAATTTGATCTGCTTTTGAGGTCATACCAGCTCCCTTTTCTCTCTTAGCCCACTCCTTAATAATGGTATCTGTTATTTTTAAAGTTCACTCTTCCCAAGACTCAGATACATGTTTAAAAAAAAAAAAAACCTGAGGTATAATTTATCAATAAAATGGACAGATTTTAAATGAACCACTTGGCAAGGTTTGACATTTGCATATACAACCACCACCTAAATCAACATATAGAACTTTTCTGTCACTGTAAGAACTTTTCTCAGAGCCCAGCATGGTGGTGCATGCCTGTTATCCCAGCATTTGGAGAGGCTAAGGCAGGAGGATCGTTGTGAGTTCAAGACCAGCCTGGGCTACAAAGTGAGCTCAAGGCCAACCTGAACTGCAGAGCAAGACTCTGTCTCAAAAAAGACAAAAAAAAACCCAAAAAATAGTAATCTCATGCTCCTTTTCAGTCAGTTCCCTGTCTTGAAAGGCAACCATTCTTTCTTCTTTCGCTATTGGTTAACATTACCTGTTTGTTAGTATATATGGAATCATCCTGTCATCATTAAGGGTAGAAAGGAAACTTCAGTATTATTATCTTTGTCTTATGCGTCTAGTGAAGGTTAAAGCTAAAGTGATTTCAAGTGTGTACAGAGTTTCCCCCCACTTTTTAAAGATTTCAAAGGAAGATTCTTTAATTTCTCACACATATGTCAGTAATAACAATATGGTTAAGAAGGCTTTTCTGCTGTTTAACCTAAATCTCTGTTGATGTCATGAAATTCATTTCCTTTTTTATGTACCTAGAACAATGTAAACAAAATTTGTAAGATTTATGGCCAGGAATGGCCCTGATGGTTGCTCCCTGTAGAGGAGATGATGAAGCGGCCAGTCAGGCGTCGCTATGCTAGTGACACTGGAGAGCAAGGAACACGATGAGAAGACTGGGACCTGGCTTACGCCCAACAGACTATGTAGTTTTAGTCAAAACTTATCCCCGTCGGTAAATCATCAGCTAGTGAGACCAAGAAAGAATATGTAATTTGATGTCTTGCACCTCCTTGACAGATATGTTCAAAACAGTTCTGTTTCACTCTCCGTATCAGGTATGTGACAGTCTCTGAAAATCTTAAGAAATCCTTTGTCTTGCTAAGTCAAGAAACTGAATCTGAATCTTAATTTGAGGAAGAGGTTATTTCAATCATGCCTGAATGATTCAGTCTTGTTTTTATATTCAAGAGTGTATTTGATGTTTTCTTTACTATAGAGTAGCCCCCCTTATCCCTCAGGGATACTTTGCCAAATATCCAAGGGATACCTAAAACTGCAGATAGTAGCAAGCCATAAATATACCATGCTTTTTCCTATCTATGCATACCTATGATAAAGTTTAATTTGTAGGTTAGAGGGCCGGGGATATAGCTCAGCTGCAGAAGCGCCTGCTTGGCAAGCACAAGGTCCTGAGTTCGATCCCCAGCAACCCCCCCCCACAAAAAATTATAAGTTAGGTATAGTAAGTATTAGCAGTAATAAAATACAGTAATAATTATCTATTATAATTAAATCAGCAGTATCACTACTCTTGCACTTTGGGGTTATTAAGTAAAATAAGGGCTACTTGAACACAAATACCTGGCTATTGATATCTTAACGATTGAGCTGATAAGAAGGTTATGAAATGATGAACAGGCGGTGGAATGTACAGTGTGGATTGCTGGGCAGAGATGATTCATGTTGCAGACAGTGCACAGCAGGATGGCAGGAGATTTCATCTCATACTCAGAATATCACGCAATTAAAAAACTGAGTTATTCTGAAATTTTTATTTAATATTTTCAGACAGCAGCTGACTATAGCATAGGTAGCTAAAACCATGGAAAGCAAAATTGCAGACAAGGTGGGGACCTAGTATAGTAGAAACGGCATAGAATGTTTGCTGCAGAAGAAACACAGTCACATCATGGAAGGTGATGACCATTGCCATCTCTTCTTCCCTGCGTTTTTGGCCTGCCTTCCCTTTGCTTTATGTTGTGCTTTATTTGTTGCATTCTGCCCTACCCTCCTCCATTTATATATTTCCCTGGAGCAGCCTTATTTCCCAAACCAATTCTGTTGTATAATTAAATTTATCACTAGAGGGCACAAGTGGTCAACAGAAAACATGTTGATGTGCAACAGAATAGTGTCTTAAAGAAGCCAAGCTAAGATAAAATGCTTCCATTTTAAAGGAATTGTAAATGAACCCAGTTCAGTGTAGCTAAAGATATTTGCCTTCCAACTGGTTTGGGAGTCGTTTTGTTTTGTAGATATGGTATTGCTACATAGTTCTGGCTGGACTTGAGCTCATTATGTGGCCCAGGCTGGCCTCGAACTGTTGGTGATCTTCATGCCTCAGCCTCCCGAGTGCTGGGATTACAGATGTACAGCACCAAGCCTAGCTGCATCCCAACCTTTGATATCATAGAGTTAGAATTGACTTTAGAAATAACTTGGTTTAGGAACATCATCACAAAGTTAAAACTGTAGTCCAGAGAAGTAAATAATTATTTTGCATGTAAAATCTCTGCTAGGTGATCAATTCCCTTCATCAGGGAATCTTTTTATGCCTGAAATTAGGGTTTATGTCCATTTTCACACCCATTCACCCATTTGGTTTTTTTACTCAGCAGGTTACATGTTCGAATTGACTTGCTAGTAGCATCTCACCTCCTTGAGCGAAGGAACATCTTCTTGAAGGACAACTTAAAAGTCTACTCAGAGTATCAAGATTCAGTGGGTAGAGAGAGCATCAGCATGGTTCTGCTGTCCTTGACATAGGTGGGTGGTTATATTGGTTAGGAAGTAAGAATTTTCATACTTTTA